CCATCTAAGGCGACTTTCTCTAATCTTATCTTCTACCAAAAATGACTTGTTTAGATTAAAAAAAGAAACGATATAATCTTAAACATGGAATGGGACGTAAATAAAGTCAAGGAGATCATACACTCTACATAAAATATTCTACGTATGAATAAGTAGACCTAAAAAGACTTCGTTAGAAAATATTAGAAATGACCTTTCTTTATTAGATTTGAAGGAGAATATTAGAAATGACTTTTCTTTATTAGATTTGAAGGAGAATTGACACTTAAAATGATAAAATGAAAAAAAACATTCATTTAGCTGACCCCACATAGTGGGATAAGTTTATGGGTACCAAAGTTGCTCAATTAGAGGAAAAAAATTATCTCTTGACAAAAATATGTTTTGGATCTTTTGAAAGATATAAAATGATTGATTATAAGGATATTACCTACCATATAGTTAGAAATTGGATACAAATGAAGAGGACATAAATTTTAACATTTCACAACATAAAAGATTAGTTGAGAAGTTAATTTATATATATCCCAAACTATCCTAAAATCTACATTGCACTGAGTCTCATAAATCAATTTATCCACGAACAAATGAAATCTCACCTTCAAGCTGCTTAGAGAATTCTTGGATATCTAAAATCAAATCTTGGAAAATGGATACTCCACAAAAAAATATGAAATTTTATAAATTGAAGGTCATACTGATGATGACAATGTGAGATCACCACTAAATAAGAGATCCACTTTAATATATTGCACACTCCCGATATTATAGACATCATGTGCCAAATATGATCTCCATAGTCAAATTTCAACACCTTATACTTCAAAAATATTTATCCATAATTACTACTCAATAGATCCAATTTCAGACTTCAACCTTCTATTCAATACAGATTATGAATAGTATATAACCATAAATACTACAAGATAACTGTTCATACATCACCATCAATAGTCATCCTCAATTCCTCCATGTTAGTCTGTCGGTATGCCATCAACAACCATCAGTTACACCTATTTAATGCTGATAAAATGAAATTTAAAAAGGGATAGAAAGAACGTCCATGGTACCTTCTATGTGAGAACCTCTTAAAGAATTGGGGTGAATTATTACCAAATACAGAAAGTGAGATGATAATTTAATGGTTCATGAAACTATAAAATAATTGCATCACCATTGAATGATGTTACATTATCAAAATAAAAATGGAACTTTGCATTGTAATAGGTTGGAGGAATAATTACAGAACTGAATTGGTCTATAACATGATTTACTATCAAGCTTCTAGAATTGCAATGCGGATTAAAACTAGACTGCCTACTTTTAATATTCATCGAAAAACCTTGTGTTAATTGGTTATGATCAACTTCGTGGGTAGCAGGTAAATTCTCTATCTCAAATCCTTAGATTCACCGTATAATGTAAAATGGAGTTTGTTTTACACTAATGGAGGTTCCACTAGGAGACAAGAAGAATATTAACAAGAATCAATGCCAAGAAACTAATATAGAAAAAAAAGAAGAAAGAAATGTGGCACCTGGACTACAGACTTACCAGACTTAGGAAAGGGTATTGAGCCACAGCAACGGTAGTATCCGCTTTTATCATAAACAAATCTCTGAGAAAGATGTGCCTCCCGAATGACATATTCACCCCAATCTTCTGAACCATATCTCTTAAATATATCTCGTGCATCAAATGAATCATTTCTTATAGTATGCATCTTTCTAAAAACAAATCATAAAGATTAGTCATAACCATTCACAAAAGATGCGGCCTAAAATAGGAGTAAAGAAGAAGATCACGCCACAAAAGAGAACCTTTTTCTATGTCTGGAATTCATCAAAGTGGCATGGAGCTACAATTCAATTAAAAAACAATCATTATCAACATAAAAAAAGGTTCATTATTTTGTTTTTATGATATATGTTCTTACTGAACTACAAGTCATGCAACATTAGAATACAAATACTTCCTGGTTACATTAATATCACAGACTACGCTCTGTTTTATTCTCAAGACAGAAGACTAATTGATAGCACGAAAACAAATCCAAATAGCAATGCATCAACATAATAAGTGTAATCCTTCATACAATGTGGAAAACATTTTAGGCGTCATCTGATATTGTTATGTTGTATTGTATGTAATAAAATTGTTGCCGTTCTCACCGAGATGAATGAATAGCTCAGTAAATGTGTCCCATGATCGTCAAAATTGGTAGCTGGATATCTAGATAAAAAAAGAATGGGGTAGAAAGTCACATTAAAAAGCCCACCTTTAAAGAATGACGAGCATCCTTTTGAAGAACAAGACCTGCTTCCACATAAGCATCAATGATAACCTCTTTATAGCAAAAGTCAAGGCATAACTAATCTACATTATTCCAAAATCTCCACTTACTAGACCATTCTTCTCTTGAAAGTAAAAAGCTATAAATTCACATAAAGGCTTCGTTTGGGACGGCTTTCTTATTGCTTCTTATAGCAGCTTTTTAGCACAAAAATTAATTTTTTTGTACTGAAAAGCTGCTTTAAAAAGCATTAAAAAAGTCGTCCCAAACAAAGCCAAAATAAGGAGAAACTGCTTTTGGATACGGCAAGCACGTAACAAGCGTCCATCTCCACTTACTTCCTCTATTGGAGCATATACAACATGGGCATTAGCTGGTGAACCCCTCATGCATGCCTGCATCATAGTGCTTTCAGTATATTCCGCAATTAACAAATTATATTACATAAATACAACAAATTAGAAGGTGGTGAAAAAAATATTTACAAAAAATAAAATCAAAACCGAGGATTTATTTGATGAGGTTCATCACATTCTTACCTTGGTTATGCTTTGCGTTATGGAGCATGTGCATTTAAACAATCGGTTCCTTTTCTTTTTCTTGGCCTTTGTCTTATAAGCATGTTGCTTGATTTAGACGTTCCAGTTCTATTGTTCTTTCAAGTATTTTATATATTGTTTTATATTCATTCTCCTTAGATATTTAACAATATTTTATTTGATTGGCATATTAATGTAGCTTAAATTTGTGATATAGAGTGCTAGTATTGAGAATGTTTTGCTTGATAATTACACATCAAGGAAACTATGTATAAAATTATAAACGGATGTGCTTCACTTAAACTATGCCACTTCGCGTGATGATTTTAAACAGAAATCTTCCTTTGTGCCTAACAAACTATAACTCAATGGTACTTCCAATTGGTCTGGGTGCAGGGGACGTGGGCTTTGGCTTGTCCAGTCTTGACTTGTTCGGGAAGGTATATATATGTTTCCTCAACAAATCGTGTCATTTAAGGATCCAAACCAGCCTGCAAACCAGCAGGACAAAAACTAAACTTCACCCTTATGGAAACTAGTTAGCTAACGACTCTAGCATTACAAAGCGTTGAATGGTTCATTCGCCTGGAGCCTTCCAAGCACATGTTCCACCTCCTATCCCAACGCAGCACCTACTTGGAGACCTCCAGCTGCTGTTGTGAACCCTGTAGCTCCTTCCCAAATCGGCAGATCCCTTGCAGCCAATCATCTCCAGTTGATTAAAGCACAAGGATTCGCCTGTGCTCAGGATGACGGATCTCGCCAAGTCACCTATTTGTGGGTTCCTACAGCTGTCAGTTTTTTTCCATCTCTTTATTGTGGGCTCCGAAAAT